GTACAGAACTACAGTAGTTTATATAGCTGTGTAATTTATATAGGACTACAGATTCGAAATGGTGATATCAGCACATAATCACTCTATTTAAATAATTGAAATAATTACAGGGCTTCTCTTCAAAAACAATATCTTTCCATATAAGAGTTCTGGCTATAGAAATCAAAGGATAATAACAGAAGTTATTCTGCTACTTTCTCTGGAATATCAATGAGATTTTTCTAAAGAGTTTCTGTGATATTAGAGGCCTGCCATTTTTAAAACACACATTGGGCGCTGGGTTGATCAAGCTGAGCACTTCCTGCATCTAGTTTCTATTGAGAGAGTAGCAACAGTAGGTTCAGACTGAGGAAAAGTTTTTGGAGATGGAATAGGAGCTGTTGAGGAATTTTTAGTCTGGTGTGGAAAGAGGTAACCTAGCAAGGTTTTAATGAGGGCAAAAATCCAGCTTTGTAGGATTAGTCTAACATTTCATCTTGTGCTAATGGCCTCTTTGGGTAGAGGTATTGCCACAGCTCCTTTTCATTCAGGGGGAACTTCAATTTACATCCTAGCTAACCTGCAGCTTCTCAAAATGTACAATAGATGCTGCATGTGTCTCCCTAGAGGCCTGATAAATATCAGGGGAAAGGTAGTTGCTGCCACCAGCCTCCAACAAAAATTGTGGCAAAATTTTTTCATAATGGGAAAGAAGATTTTGCTTTTAAAATGGTATTGATTTTGCAATATAAGTAAGTGGAATACTTTATTGGTATGATACAAAACATAAGTAAAGTTTATCTGAGCAATTACAGTGACTGAAAAAGGGGTAGGTGTGTCTTATGTTTATTTGACTTTTTTTCCCCTACTTGAAAATCTGCAGCACTCAAAGGAAAATAATAATTTTTTCATAGTTTTATTGGATTAGAAAGTAGGTGCTGTTTGTATCTCAAACATTTTATTTACAGTTGAGTGAAATTTTTCATGTTAAACATTCTTTTTCAGCATTAATTCAGACTTAGAATTTTAAAATTTTTCATATGGATTAGTGAGTTTTATAACTTGCTTTGAAATCATTATAAACTGCTTTAGTTACAAAATTGCACAACATCTTTTCAAACAAATATTTGATTGTGACAACTGAAATAACTGCTTCAAAGGCCTCACCTCTTCCTCTTTTTTTTTCTTTGAATTACAAGCCATATTGCAAAAGAGATACACAGGTTTTGTAAAATGAAGCACAATAAAAGAGCTGAAATTATCACTCAAAATCTTCCTTTGTGTGAAAGTATCTGACTTACTTACAGGTTATAATGCTGTCCTGAGAAATTGGAAGCACCAATGAACTGGTAATCAATTTGTTACCAGTTTTCCTGTTCTATACTTTGCTGTTTCTTGGACCCCTTCATACCATTAGTGCATTTCTTGCTATCATTTTGAGGAAATGTTATTCAACTCATGTAGTTCATACTACTATTTTTTGTTTCCACTCTCACCGATTTGATGAAAAGGTTTAAAAATTGTAAGGTACTCTCTTACAAAATTATTGGAAAGTTGTGAGGACCACTCATACAGAGCAAGAATGTCAGCTAATATATTTGAGCTGAAAATAATGACATAATAATTACATTCATTTACACCCCATCAGAATTTGACTGTCCATTGTTTAATCTTGTTAATCATTGTTACCTTGCTGCTATCGATATTAACTTCTTGAAATTAATGGGAACAAATAGCAAGTAAATAATTGACAAAATGTTTTTATAAGAAGTGGAAATAGTAGTCAGGTTTGTGATTTATTTATGCCCTTTGTACTTTAATACTTTCCATTGTTCCATCTTATGTTCTGTGACCTCTCCAAAGACTAAAAAACATTTAGGAAAACTGAATATATAACCTGAAGACTGTGCCATCTCAGTAGATACTGTTGTAGCTCGACATCAGGTTCAGAAGTTATCAGAGTTAACGAAGCTTAAAACACACAGGGGCATCAGAGGGATCTGCAGCTGTGAAGATTAAATATGTGTATCTTATTAAGGCTTTAGAAGGCTAATACAATGCAAGTGGGCTAGAAAAACTTTTGCCATTTGTGGAATGTACCTCAGTGCATGAGCAGTCCCATCAGCAATCAGTAGGGCTGCTCAAGTTACTAATTTAGCATCTGACTTCAGATTAGATGACAGAATACCATTTCACAAATTGTTAATAAGGACTTACAAATAACTTTTTTAATGTTTGGCACATTTATTATGGTTATAGTACACATACAATCATAACCTGCTGCTTCAAATAAAAGCAGTATTTAAGATATTTCATCTGTCTTCATGCCCCTCAAGCTCATGGTTGAAATGGTTTCCTCCCAAGGTCATGAGGATCTTTTATTTAGTATTTATGATTTTTTTATTGAAGCCTGATTTAATTCTACTGATAAATGGTTAAGGAGAATATTCTTTCATCTGGACCTCCTCATTGCCGTATCTGTTCTTTGCTAGAGCTCTGGAGATGTATTTCACATTAATGAGCATCTGAAATATGTCTGAGTTTTGCTTTTTTCTAGCAAGTTGGAAAAAATTTTATCATTTTTCTTGGATCAAATCCATTAGTTCATTTCCCTTGAGCTGCTCTTTCAACTGTGGAAAGATAATGTTTAATTTCAAATAAAAACTATTTTCAACAGAACAGGTTTCACAATTCATAAAATGGTTTTTGTTAAACATATGTTTTGTAAAAATATTTCTGACGTGACTGAACTGCTGATCTGTTGTTAAAATGTGGTATTTTGGAAACAGTGACATTTCCACGTGGTCTTTCACACAGACCCTGTGTTTGTAACCAGAGGCTGCTTCTATAAATGGTATGCCCAGGACAGGAGGGTGAGCTCACACATCCTTTTCTGTACACACACGCTGGCCTGTGAACTATAAATGGAACAAAAGGATGAACTTCAATGGGCACTTGCCACTTTGCAAGATAAATAAGTGTTGATGAGTTAGAACTTCGTTGATATGCCTGAAGTAGTTTAAGTAGAGCCTGCATGACATATGTTTTTCTATCTATTTTTAGAAGTCCAGCTCCAGTGAGACCTGAAACTACGCCAACAACTGTCCCTACAGAAAAGCAGGAGGTTAAAGCTCCTCGTGTGAGGAAGTTAACGAGGCAGTACAGTTTGTGAGTAACTTACAGCACTATCCTTGTGGTTTTGCCTACTACAGCTGAAAATGAAAGGGGGTGCTAATTATTGCTCTAGCTATGCCTTCTGAAAGGCATGAGTGCAATTACATGATAATGATCTTATACCGATACCATTCCTTTCATCACCGAGAATCTTCACGCTTTTAATACAAAATGAATTTGCCTTTCCTACGCAGTGGCTAACCCTTTGAATTGCAGGCCATCCACCTTTTCCCAGGCTTATGGGCTAGGAATTAAAAACCTCTTTACCACATGAAATGTCAAAGACCTGGTGTGAGCTGGAACAAGCTGCTCTGTTGGCTTCATTACAACCCCATTTGCAAAATGAGGAAAACAGTCTTTAGTTGTTGGGGCATCAAGCTGTGCTGCGAGCCATTCCCTCTCAGAGAGCACACCCTCCCTCTCTGTGGTTTGTCACATGAAGAAATTGCTGAGCCTGCTACAGCTACAGCCAGCAAAACTAATTCTCTTAGTCCTAGAAAGAGGGATCTGTGCCTACAGGGCTTTGGCATCCCTTTTACATGTAATTCATTCCACTTGGAAGTCTCTAGAGATATGAGGTACTGAGCAGAGGTGAAAGTCAGTGTTGATTTGTCCTCCCATGAAAACACAAACAAGGCCACCAGAAATTAAGGGGAAAAAGGTTTAATGTCAGCATAAACTTATTAGTACAAGAATACCAATGCCATAATAAATAAAAGATATGTATGCTTTCTGTGTGGCATGGCAACTGTTAGTCCATCCAGGATTTCAAATATCAACATTAGGAAAACTTTTCTATCTCTTCAAAAGGATTCTAATAAATATCAATATCTCATTATTTTTTGTTTCACTGTTAAGAACATTGTCTTTTTAACAATCTGCATTACCAAAAGTGGATGAGAAACAGAAGAACTAGTCAAATTGAAGCTAGGAGGAAAATGAGCTATTAGCCAAATTGGGATTTGCCCAAGAGGCCAAGACTGGCATGTGGAAACACACAATCACTTTTTGATTTATGAGGTTTGGAGGAACATTTTTGAGCATCTCTTGCTCCCATGTGGATTTTCAGTTGTCCAGTATTAGGTGTGAGGAATAGCAGATGAACACATCTAACCACAGGTGTCACCTATGCTGTGGCCATGTGCAGGGCCAAGGACTCCCTAGTTAGAAATATGGGCTGTAATTTTTTTTCTTTTTGTAACCTCAAATTCTGTTCAATTTAAATTATCTTGTCTCTGGAATGCAAATGTTGGAAATGTGAAGAAACAGTGACGGATTATCATGAAAGTAATACAGTGTAGGCCAATTTTCAGTCTTACAGATAGTGTGCTGATAGCTTGATGGCTGATAAATCCATCCTAACTCTTATTTTTCCACTTCCTTGTATACATCAGTGTAGCTTTACCCAGCAAGGACGGGGAGGGTGCCAGTGAATTCCTGCTGAGAGGGGGAAGCAAGGACTGTGAAAATGTCAGCTACATGCTTCTGAAAGAGAGATTAACTGGGTCAACAGCCCAGCTCTGGGCTTGTTACATTTATAAAATATCTATTCAACAGGTCCAAAAGATTTCACATTTTCTTTCCAACATAAAACCTGCACATTGTGTATGCTGTGATGCTGAATTTTATCCTTACCCAGAAGAAATAAAAAATGAAGTTTGAAAAAGGTAATATTAATAACCAAAATTTTATATCATAATTAAAAAACATTGCTAGGCAACCCAGCATAAAGTTGTGTAACCTTTATGGCATGTAGTTTTGAAGTTTTTTGTGCTGCCCAGGCATGCTGCCTTCAAGTGGCACTAAATCAAGTGTAGCTCTGTTCTGAAAGTATCTGTCAAGCTGGCATGGCAGGCTTCTGTGCACTGTGAGTACCTAATTGGTAGTTAAAATTAGTGCTGTTTTATGAGCAGAAGTAATTTTTCTCATTATTTTTCTCTGAGCATTTAACTGTCAATCTGTAGTCTTTCCTTTTTCACACATCTTTCCCAGTAATAAGGCTTCTGTAGGCCAAATTATGACTCTGTTTACCTCCATCCAATTGCAATTAACAATTGGAAACATCCTGACTCAGGGCTGACTGATCCCAGTGAACTGTAGTCAATGGAGTTCTGCAAAAGTAAATGAAGGTATAACATTCTTTACTGGCTTTTATTTAGTAGTGACAGTAGGTGAGATGGAAAGAGCTCAGCTTGATGGCCCAAAGCCCAGGGGAAGCGTGCAACCTCATCTTAAATAAAGTGTTTTCTCTGTAAATGGAATAAATGGGACAGGAAAAAGATACTCTCACAAGAATGTTTTTAAAGAGATCCTTTTTGGAGTCGATCAAACTCCTTTAAAAACATTTTGAAAATAGCAGCATAGACTAGCTCCATAATGGGTGTCAAATCCACCGTTGTCTGAAACCAATGAAGCAGTCAGATCCATGGATAGATGTCACCATATCTGTTCTTATCTTTGTTGCCAGCCTCCATAGAAAAGAATAAACATTAAAGTGGAGTAATATCTAGTCAGTTCATTTATGCATATATACATAATCCATAGCAATGCTACTTGCACCTAATAATCATAAGATTTCCATTTGCAGATGAGAAGTACCTAGCCAACCAATTTTTATGGAATATTTAAAGCTTTAAAAAAAAAATTACTTGAAAAGGTAGCTGCATTTCAGGGGGAAGAGTAAATGGAGCTTCACTTCAAAGCACTACAGCAGACATACAGGTTCCCAGGGCCTCCTCTGACACAAGTGCAGTCAGAAGTCCAGTGGCATTTTTTAACGAGAAAATCTGTCTGTTTTTATCAATGGTAGTGATGAAGATGACCTTCCTCCAGCACTGGCAGCAGCAGCAGCAGCAGCATCAACACCTGTGTCTTCAGCATCTCCCGGGTCACAGAAAACGTGTACGCCACAAACATCGGAAGGACAAACACAGGTTTCGCCCGGTGGCAAGGTAACACACAAAGAAATGAGCTTTTCTTTTCTGTCTTTCCTGAGTAGTCATATCTGGAAAACACGGTGTGAAATTTTAAATCCATTTTGCAATCTCTGCTTTAAGAAATTTTAAAAAACACAACAAAAATAACCAACAAAATTACAGAAATTAAATGGTTCTCTATTCCAATGCCGGGTTTCTTTTTTGCCTTTAGAGTTCCACAGATGCTGGGAGTACATTTGCTTTGGAGCCAGGTGACCTCCTGATGGATTTCACAGAGGCCACACCAATGGTAAATAGCTTTAGTTTGTAACCAGGAAAATGTAGAAGTTTTCAATCATTTGCAGCTAAAATGAATGGGATACTATGCAGTGTGTTAGAGAGTTCATGGGAATAAAGTAAGTCTCCTTGATATTCAGTGATCTTGAGCCTCTATCGAACTCAGTTCAGAATTTCTGAAAATCAGTCCACATCAACAAGTGTTATGGCTGATCTTCTGAATGCATTTATTGTTGTATAACTACTTATTTCTCTCTCCTATCTTTACACATTGCTGCACTGGTTTCACAAGCTTCTTTGTCCCTTTAACACAGATTCCTAATGTGATCATAACTTTGTTTTTGGGAGTTGTCTGAAAAGTCACTTCTTTTTACCACAATTTTGTTCAGAGCTTACCTAATAGCCAATCCCCAAGACGTGTACTTTCATGTTTCATTAGCAGTGTTCTGTTCCTCACTTTAGACCAAATTGCCTAAAATGTGTTGATTATTAACTTATTTTTTTGGAGCTAAGTGATGTATATATTTTTGCTTAAAAGCCAGGGAAAGATGCCAGTCCCACTGAAATCAAAATGCCTCTTGACTTCAGTGATCTCAACTCTTTCATCTCAGATTCTCAGCAGATTTCTTGCATAATCATTATATGATCCTTAACTTCCTCCAAGTCATCCTGCATTGCAATTAGCTCTAATGCCAGATAGCTCCTCTGCTGTCCAAAGGCATTTTTGCTGTCTTCTAGAAAGCACAGTTAAAGCATATAAAAAGCATGACAAGGACATCACTACATTTTGGGCATAAATGTTTTTGTATTAAGGTAATCATATCCTGGGCATTGCTTTCACTACTTGGTAAGGTCCTAGTTTACAGTATTGGAAAGGTGCTGTGGGGTTGTGCCTTTTGTTTCAGTATTTGAGACAGTATTGTAGTTGTCTGTAAATAACTGCTTGTGTCCTGTTGCCACTGGATGAGAGCTGTGGGGCTGGACAAGACACAGGCAGACTGAAACTGAAACCACCAGAAGGGAGGTGGTAGCGAGGTAGGTATCGGTCGCTTCCCAAGTCAGAAGTGACAGGACAAGAAGAAACAGCCTCAAATTACTCCTTAAATTTTGGATATTAGTAACAGTTTGTTCACTGAAAGGTTTATAAAGCATTGGCACAGGCTGCCCAGGGAAGTGGTTGAGTAGACAGCCCCGGAGATATTTAAAAGACTTGTGGATGTTGCACTGAGGAACAATGGTTTGAGGAGGGGCTTGGCAGTGCTGGGTTGTGGTTGGACTTGATGATCTGAAGGGCCTGTTCCAACACAAGTGATTCCATGATTCTGTCTAGGTTAGATTGTCCTTTTCTATATTAGTAGTACATTTGTGGTTATCTGTTGGAGTATACAAATAGATTTCTTATTCTAAAAAAACATACGATATCTTACTGTGTTAATCAGAATTTTTAAAAAATGAGTCATGGAGATTTCAGCAACTGACCTGCTCTACATAACATAAGTTTGGTTTTATTTTTTTCTATTTAACAGAAGTCAGCACGACACACTTTTTCCTTTTCCAGCTGAGGATACAGGCTTTTTGCCCTAAATATTTTACCAAATCATGCTTTCCCCTTCCCTACCCCACCACTGACATAATTTATCACATTGTGTGTTCATGAACTAACCTTCCATTGACTCTCTTGGCTTTAATATTTTGGAGAGAAGGTGCTGCCCAGCATCAATCAACCCTTTTTGTTTTGTTTAACATCTATAAAGGTCAGCTTGTTCTCTACAGAGCAGGTATTGTTTACAGACCTTTCTCTGCAGTTTCACTGACTACAGGCTGCTCTCACTTGAGGTTTGAATGAAAAGTTTACTCTTCAGGGAGAGAGGCTCCAAGCAAAGACAAGCTAAGGGCAAATGTGTAGCTTTGAGGCAGTCTGATCATTTAATAGTTCTCTTGTGATAGAATGTGCTGTCTGTTATTTGAGGGTCAAGGTAATGTACAGCTTAGCTTCGTGTTACTGTCAAGTCTGTGGTCATGTGCTGGTTTTGCATGCTGTGATCTGGCCCTTGGGAATTTGTTTGTTAATTGCACCCATTTGTTCCACATTCAGTGACAAGTACAGTATCTGAAGGGGTCATTCATGTTGTCTTATTTGGGGTATTTGCCTGAGGTGATAGAGGTGGAAGTTCAGGTAGTCAAGGTTTTCCTGCAGAGGGCCATTCAAACAGCTGTCTTGTCTTTGTTGTCTGGACTAGAAGGACAAAGGCACCTAAATTGGTCATCCAAAATTAGGTTTTGTAATTTGTTTTGGTCATGATATATGCCAACAAACTTCCCCAGTTCACTGGAGAGCTGTTAATAATTTGAAATTTGAATTTTTCCCTTCTTTTCTCCAACATAACTGGTAGAGACTGATTAATAGTCCCTGACTGAGCTGCATGGTTTTCGTTGTTCAGTGTCTAACCATTGGTGCTTTGTGATGACCTTGGGTTTTATCCATGCTTTGCTGCTGTTGCCAGCAAAACAGTGGAAGATACCAAATACAGTGAAATACATAGTGAGAATTACACTTGGAAGTGGAGGTCAGGAAACCAAATAAACTTATAAAAATGTAAGGATTACTGAATTGAGTGAATTAATAGAAATCATCAAGACATCTCATGCAGGGATGAGAGCAATCAAATTTGACTACTCGGTCAGCCTGGAGGAGGTAGTGTGATATATACAAGAACCAGCTGAGCTCTAATGGTCACTTAGTCATCAATACTTAGACTGCCAGTAACAGCAGGGCAATTATGAGGCAGACTGATTTCAGGAAATCATTTTGCAGGAAAAATAATGTACATTTACTAATGCAGATTGCCTAGAGGGAAAGGTATCCTTTTGTGCTCTTCAGTCCTAAAACCCTGTAGTTTATGCACATTTCTATTAATTTTTCAATTAGATCCTACAATTATTTGACTGCAACATATTACTTGTTGTCCTTAAAATAATTGTAACTTGAGGAGAAGAAAATATTTATCTTTTTTTACCACTCTATTGTGACTTTTAGCACCATATCCTTTTAGCTTGTATGTAAACAAGATTCAATCCCTCCTGCATTTGTGTTTGCAAATGGATTTTTAAAAATGCAGCATCATATATGAAGAATTATATTATCACATTAAGAGCATCCTTAATGAGGTATATTAGAATAAGTTTTGTCAGTGTAGAAGGCTCTTTCTCCCCCTGCACTCCCTTCTTGTGTTTTTAGCTTTTCTGGTACTGGAAATCAAAGCCTCAGCTTTAAGGTATTCTCTTGTGGTTTATAATTGGTGTGATTTCTGACATGTGCATGAATGAAGAGCTTTTCTTGTTTAGTTACAGAAAGCTCAGTCTAAAGACCCTGAGTGAATGTAACAGCTGCTGCACCACACTGACAATACCTTCCCCACCAAGAGAGGAAGCTGGTGTGCACAAGCTTCAGTTTGACCTGAAGGGAGTAGGACAAAACAAATTAGTTTTACCTACAACATGGAGCTATTCCTAAACTTAGACTAAGGTTTGTAATGGAAGGTGGATGGGCTAGAACTAAGTCTTGATCATATCTAAAGAGGTATCAGAGAGCAGTAATTTACAGCTGGCTGTGTACTTTCAAATTATAGGTTATCTCATGCTGTATCAAGTGAATAATTTTCTAGAGCTTCACCTGCCATCTATTGGTGGAAAACAGAAAGTAGAAAATTATTTGCCTATTTAAAGCTTGAGATATAACATTTAAAAGGTATAAATTACCAGTGCGATAGTTAAAAAATGAAAAATAAATGCTTTCAGTGTAATAGAATATATTTTTATTTAGGATGAGTTGGAAACAAGTATGTCTATTTTAGCATTACTAGGATATGCAATCCTTCATTCAAAGTGACCTCAGTTAGTCTGAAAGTGTAGAGAATTTGATTCATTACTATTTTGGAAATAAAGTGAAGGTAAGCAGGTCAAAAGTAAGTCAGCTCAGGGGGAAACTGGGAGAAGTTTTTCTATCTTGATGGAGGTGATAAAACATTCCTGCAAACTCTCAGTAGATAGTGGATAGTGAGCAAGAGGTAATAAATAGAGCAAAATAAGTAATGTATCTTTTCATTCTACTCCCCTTTAATGTTCATTATTTTAATAAAGAAGAGTTAATTTAATTTTTAGTTACTAAGTTTTTATGACAGTATTGCAAGGTTGCAATAAGCCAAATAACAGAGTGGGAAGTGAGCTCAGTACTTCTTGCCTTCATTTTGAATAACTTTTCACTTTCTGTGCAAAGCAATTTTTCAGTGGAAGACAGGCAAGCATATCCAACTCTAATACCTCCATAGCCAGTCCTTTTGAGTTCTAAACAAGAGTGACTATAATGTAATTCAAGACAGATATTTGATAAGAACATTAGCATGTATCTACTATCTAACTGGATGAAAGTATAGATCAAGTATCTCTGCATGCCCCCAAGATCTTTAAAACAGCTCAGTGAGAGACAAATTTATAAATGCTTCACTTATGGTGAACTAAATACTGAAGAAAAATAAGACACTCGAAGACTGGGTGAGATATTTCAGAATTAGAAGCTTTCTACTTTTACATCTTCATCACAAAAACAACAAAAATTTCTTATGCTAAGATGACTTGAATGCAATAACTATGCAATGATTCAAAGGGGAATATTAAAAATTCTATTTCCCAAGCCAGCTTCTCAATTGGCAGTATTTGCACACTCAAACTTACATGCCATGGCCAATTATGAGCACAAGAATTTGCAAAATATAACAGTTTGTCTGTCTGTTAAACATAGAAATAAGAAGTAAAAGCAGCAAGCAGGATGTCAAATGCATATTTATTCCCTGTTTCAAGTTCATGCCCTTTAGCTCCATATTAAACTAAAAAAAAAAGCAAAGAACAGTGTCACTGGTGGGGTTTTCGGGTTCCCTTTGGGATCCCTGAGACTGCTTTCGCAGCCCTCAGCGACGGAGCAAATTCCCGAGCCTTGCCCAGATCGAATTGTGGCTC